AGAGAGAGAGAGAGAGAGAAGATCCGTCGGGCGCGCGGAAAGGACGAGAGAATTCTCTGTCGATTTTCGCGAGGGACTGTAAAAAAATTTGCGCATCGCGGTCGAAGAGATCGCCATTCCCTTTCTCTCTCTTTCTCACCAACCTTTCAACGGGGCCGCGCGCGCGATGCGGTCTACCAGAAGGAAGGAAGTGCACCTCGTCGAAACCGGAGCAAGGTGATTAATCACCCGCCGCGCTGCGGATGCATTGACCAGTCGATGCAGCCGCACCCGGCGTGCCGCGCTGCTCGCCCACGCGATCTTCTCGCGATCGTCTCTCGAAGCCGATCGGCTTCGCGAACGACGATGAGAATCGGCACGGCGTAGGTGAGACGCTCGCGTCTGTCGCGAGAGGCGAGAGAAGCAGCACGGAATCGCGGCTTACGGATCGGTCACGGATCTCGCGTTGATCTCGAAGAAACGCTGTGACTAAACGGTATCGGGATATGATTAATCGATTTTTCGCGAGAGCGATGCTCGCGACGATATCGACGTTACAGTATTGGTTGAGGTTCAAGACGCGAGTTTAAAGGCTACGCGGATGAAATTGACTGGCGCTCGTTGCGATTTCTCTTTTGTATAAAAATGATAAATTATTCGTTCGAAATCAGAGTACAATTCGTAAAAAAAAAAAGACAAAAAATTTACGAGATACCGGAACGATAAGAAGAACTATATTGATAAACTTAAACAAACGGGATTCTTCGCGCTGATTAAAGAGAAAGCGAGTGAATTAGTTCTCTAACGGTTGAAAAGTTGATGAATATCGGGCGCGGATTATTTTCGATGGAGGAGGACGGAGTTGTTCGGATGTTCGGCACGATCATGTGGAGCTTCATGTTAGCTTTAAAAAAGAGCAGTGTTGCACATCGGTCCATCGGTAACAGCTGCATCATGGACGCGCGCGACGTCGCGTCGCATCGTTTCGCGTCAGCAAAAATTCACTGGCGCGAGGGGTTTACTTATTGTGCACCGGCTCGACCTTTCCCCCGCCGTTTTATATCCCGGCCGCATAAGCTCCGACGATGTGCAGGGTTTATCATACGATTTAATAGCGTACTGGAAGGTTATTGGTCCGTACAAAACTTGGAGCGTTATGAGGAACATAGATAGAAGCCCGCGTTCTTGCTCTCTCTACCTTTTCTTTCCTATAGATCCCCCTATTCATTTTACGCTTCGCGATCAATCGAAGAATTTAATCTGCGGAGAAAGAGCAGAGTGGCTTTCTCTTTCTCTCTCTTTCTCTCTCTCTCTCTCTCTTCGTTATCAAAGATGTATTTTCCGCTTCGCAACCATCGGCGATAACGCGCTCACAATGATCGTTAAATTATTACAGTATTTATCATTTGCACCGACGTCATAAATAATTTAAAGTGACATTTATTATAATCCGAACGCGGATAAAAAGAGGAGATATTGACTTTAAATTAGCCTCTTGGATTAGAAGAAGCTTCAACGTTTTTAATTCCGCTATCTAATTTAAAGAATAAACGTAAGACCCCATGAGATTAAACCTCCGACTTAAAATGGCACGGTATCACGATTCAGAATAAATTTAAAAAATAAAAAAAAAAAAAAGAAATCAGCGAGAGATCTCCGCGAGGATTGCGCGCTCAGTTCGACGTTGATTAAGGCAAATGTCAAGTATCGACCTTTATAGAATGGAATCCCTTCGCACTGACCCTCGCAACCTTCGCAACCTTCGCAACCTTCGCGACGATGGGGATTTTCGCACGATGCAATTTTTATGACGCGGGATGAGGGATCTTTCGGGTTCTCGATGCGTCCTAAATCACGTGCGCAAGATCGCCCGCACGTTAATTTAAATTAATCGTCGCTGCAGCGACAACTGATTTAATGCGCGCCTCAATCCGGCCTCTGACACGTTCGCGCGCGATGAATTACGGTAATTCGCGCGCGCGACAGAATCCATTTACAATGGAGACATTTACAGAGTAGATACATACGCGCGTGATTGCGCAGTTAATACATATCGAGCTTTTGTGTTCCTGCGCTCTATCCGCGCGCATTATCGCGCCGCGCGTCGCGCGATTTCCCTGGAGGATCGCGATCTCTTCGTCCCGCGTAAAGTAACGGCGATGCCGCGCTCGCGATAACAATTACGATAAAAATCGGTAAGATTAATGCTCGCGGTATGCGGCAGTAGCGTATATATCGATACTTCGTTCGCCTGTCAATTAAAATTAATCGGGGATCGACGTAACGATACAACAATGCTCTCGACAAATGGAGCGCCCGAATGAATGAACCTTCTTCTATTCGCACAATAACGGATGTAATTTTTTTTTTTTTTTTTTTTCCATTCTGTATTTCACCGTGCGATGAAATAGAAAAAAATTTAAATACGTAAAAGTGTATATGTTCGATGAATTTCATGAAATTACAATGCGACTCGCCGATAGGCGATTATTTTTTTATGCGCGGGCTATCCCCGGCTTACGTGAGAAAACTGTAGTCGCATCGTTCCGGGACTTTTCAAAAGAAAATTCGTAATTAAAATTTGGAGGCACGTTTCGGATCTCACACGCGAGAAAGAGATAATTCGTACAGGCGAAACGTGCGACGCGTTCGTAAATCGTGATCGGAGCGTGGCGTCGACGGGTGAAAAGTAAACGAAAGACTCTGCGTACATGTGTGCCTCTGTGTGTGGGGGCAATAAATTTCCGATTCACGATACTGCAGATTGCGCTTGTACGGCTGGGCGTATATGTATGCCTCCTCGCCAAAGTACTTTCCACTTTCCTCGCCGAGCTTATGGAAAAAGTTCAGTCTTCGCGTCGGGGTAGTCGTTTTGATTTTTCGCGTGCGTAGCGATGAGAAAGGAGAATGACGCGCGATCCGAGATGCAAATGCCGACTGAAGTGACAAGCTAATTTCTCGGAAATGTGATCGTAGTTCGCGACACGACACGAGGGATTTTCCTCCGCGTTTTAATAGGAGGCTTATAAATTGTTGCGACTAATTAGAGCTAATTATGATATAAACGAGCAAAGTAGAGTAATTAATAAATATGTAGGTGCTGCTGGAGAACAATAACGAACAATAAATTGCGGAATTCCGGAGGTTTAATTCAATGAGTTGTTGTACGAAGATATTTTGATGCAGTAGTAATTTATTGCGAAAATATTTTCCGTGCGGAATTCCGTGAGAAAAATGACAAAAAGAAAGGAGACAAACAAAAATGCCGTCCCATTTCGACTTTCGTTCCCGATTTCGCTGTGTGATCGCGATGATGCGTCGGTGAATGTTGGACGATGGCCGATCGACATCAATAAACTCGTAATTAAAGACCATTCACAACGGCGGATCTGACGCGCTTTAACGAATCTATGGTAACATACCGTCAATCTTTGCTCTCCTCGCAAAAACTCGCGCGCCGCGTATTGCAATGGGTTTCCGATTGAGTATAATTGAACGCGACGTCGAGAGTAGCGTTTCCCGATATTAAACAAACACGCTAACGAATATTATTCACGGTTATTACGTCGATGTCAAATACAATCGAAGCGACGTCCCGCGCATCGAAATGCCGTATAACGTAAACGCGGTTAACAGCATCCTGTGCCTGTGGAAAATATGCTTTCCGCGCGCATTATAATAAATAAAGGTGATTATAACTACGCGAAATGAGCAATACGCCAATGGAACTTTGCATTCGAAAACGGCTGTTGAACCGTCAGACCACCGAACGTGGCTGAAACTTTTGAATTCTCGCGTCTGCGGAATTTTTTTTTTTTTTTTGCATATTAAAGACTCCATGAATTTTTAATAAAACTCGCGACGATCGATGACTTCGCGAGCGTCGCTTGCGATTTATCCGCGTCCAGGTTGTCATTTAAATCTGATCGATTGCAAGTCACGCGGAAGCGAGCGTCAGAAGGACGGGATCCTTTCATCCTCATTTTCGTGGCGCGATTGCGGTCATACCCTTCGCGCGCGACGCGAGAAAAGGTCGCCGTGGAGAAGCACCATCGTAAGATCCTCTCCTCGCAACGGTACAGGGATCAAAACTTTTCAGCCAGCCAACTCTCATAATTTATTCCCGCGCGAGCGAGAGGGGAAAGGAGAAGGAGAGACGCTTTGTAGGAACCTGCCACCGAGTATAAAGAGAGGAGCGTAAGAGATTTCTTTTTCTCTCCTTTTACTTCTCTCTCTCTCCCTCTTCCTCTTTGCGTCTCCCTTTTTATATCCTCTCGCTGGCTGCGCGTCACAAATCCTACAAACGAGCCGGGATATATTACTCTAGCCTATCTGTTCGCTCGCCCTTTCTTACGCGTCCCCCATTTTTCTTCCTTCCAAGTACCGCGGCCGCAATTCGCGACATTTATCGTCAGAAGAGAATAAATATTGAATATACGAGTAAACATAGTTACATGTCGGATTACAATAATCATATGCGGTAATTTATATCCTAGAATGAAGATATATCCTAGAACGAGAATTATGCGCGAGAAATTACACGGCGCTACGTCAGAGAATTGCACGCGGATTAAAAGGGGCTTGGGCATCAACGAGCGTAGAGAAAGAGAAAGAGAAAGAGAAAGAGAAGAGAGAGAGAGAGAGAGAGAAAAAGAGAGAGACATGATGCGTGTTTTTTAAATTAATGACCGATAGACCGTCGGTCGGGAATTTCACCCCGCGGGCGTTGCGGAAAATACAACGTTTCTGCCGGCATCACGTGCTTCGCGTAATTGATGTCCGATCGATCGATCCCTAGTCGCGAGCTAGATAGACACGCCGCACCGATTACGTTTCATGGAGATCGGAAATAAATCGTTGGCGATAAAATTGACCGATTTCCGCACACGCAGCGAATAGCGCACCTCGCTGCCAAAGCGCGATCCGCAGTTAATTCGGTAAAAGCGCCGCATAAACAACGTATCGTAAATCTGCCGAACTCGCATCGATGGCTGTTCGAAAGACAGCATCTAGCTTCGTTCGTTACGCAACGAATAATTATTCACGTTACGCGACATTACTGCGATAGTGATTAATGAAGAATATTACAAGAAACGTCGCGATATATGAGAGACATCACACGAGGATTTTTCTAGAAAAAAAAAAAAAAAAAAAAAATTAAATGTAATAAGCGTGAAAGAGATCGAAAGGCCAAGTCGAAATTATTCAGATCTGAAGGGTTAAATTCTATATTCGAAACAGAACGAATGGAACGGAATCGATTTTCGGACGATCGATCAACGTTCGCGTCCGTAATCGGGTTTGTAATCGTCGTCGCGTTCAATAAGACGAAGCGAATCGCTTGACGAACGAACGTTTTAAAATCGCAGGGATGGAATCGTGAATCAAAATCGCCGGTTAATCCGACGGTAATTACGGGTAAATTCGATCGAATTAATGGCCGTGCCGCCAGTGCGTCGTGTGAGTTATCGGCCGGCTGCTGCCAGGGACATGAGGCTGGACTTCGTGACCCGATATTGCGTTGTCGATCCCGATATTGGCAGCAGCAACAGCAACAGCAGCAGCAGCAGCAGCAGCAGCAGCTTCCGAGACTTCGGAACGGAGTCTCGAAATGAGAGGAACAATAGCCAAAGCGACGCACGAATCGCGCTATCTTTGACGTCGCCGATCTCCCGACCAGCATAATTTCGTCGCGTTAGACCGTGAAAAATACTCGTAAAAATATTTCGAAACTATCCTTAAAAGTTGTATGTAGTTACACAGATATTTTTATTAGTCTTTAGTAATAAAATTTGCTTTATGAAGATTAATATTATATTGATAAAGAAATTATTCTCATATCGTATTTTCCATCAGGATAGGTTCGCGTTATGTAAAATGGGCGTCCGACAAAACATTTCGAGAATTCGTGTCACGTTTCGTATGCAACGCGGATGCCATATTTCTTTTTTTTTTTTTTAACATCTCACCGGACCATAAGGCACACTCCGCGTCGCGTCCGATTTTATTTCCGTTTCGTTTACGGACAGTACGAATAATAACAGTCGAATGGTGCATTCCTCGACTGCGTGCACGGAGGAAAGAGAGCGTTG